AACACTTTCAATCTGTCACTGAAAGCAAAAAACTGAAACGAAATGCCATAGTTGTGTTTTCCCTGTCACAAGGAAGTTACTGCCCCAGTTTTTTTCTCATGTGAATGAGCTTTTCCTCATAACCCACCTTTTCTACCGTTTGGTCTCACTGATTATGTTGCAATTCATATATGTAATGTGTTTCAAACCGACAATATTACTCTTAGAGACTTTGGTAATCTTTGCGTTTAGTTTGTTAAAAGTTGCTGTACATCTGCAGGCCACTTTGGAACCCACCTCAAGCCACAGATGCCTGCTCTATGTTCTGCTGGGCTCTGTTCTCCATACCAAAGACGAATATAAATTATGCACAGAGTTAAAAAAAACAACCTTCTCCTGGTTGAACTGAATGACTTAGCACTAACGCACACACATACACAAAAAAGGAAAAACAACACCAGATTAAAAGTGTTGGTTTGGTTTTGAGATGAACAAAGCTAGACTTAGATTGTAGAGAGCATTTGTTTTACTTTGACCACCCGCCGTAAGTTTATTAAACACTGCACAAGTGATTTTAGTAAGGTACTGCTACATTTTCCATTACAGCTAAAATTACTCATGACACAGATTCAGTGCAGTTTGTCCCGGCTCCAGCACAGACGCTGTGCCTGCCACCCACAAACACACATTTAGAAAATTAAAAATGTGTCATCGAGTTTCATATTTTAGTTCCAAATGCATACAGTGCATCCATGACAAATCAGAGCCCAGCTTACCCCTCCTTTCCCTCTTAATTAGTTTTAGACATTAAAAAAAAGGTCCATTTATCACAAGATTTTTGGCCTCAGCAGACTTTTCATCTCTGGAGAAACATGGCAGGGAGAGATATAATGAAATGTCTTGTGTACAATCAAAATCATCTCTTTTAGCCACAGGGTCGAGATTTGAGCCTGGTGCAGCCAAGGAAATCATAGAAAAAGAAGCTGGAGCAAAAACTTCAAAGCTCAGTGTGAGTGTGTGTTGTGTTGGCAAGGTTTAATTTGAGTGAAGATGTGAACTCAGCAGGGAGTCCTCTGATGACTTAACCCAGCTTTTCATCTCTTCTACAGTGACACGGCCTTCCAGCGCTCAAAGGCCATATCCACATTCAGCTTTAAAGCAGTGACTTCATCTCACCGTCCATATTAAAACAGTGCTGCCCTTGTGGATTTCAGCAGCAAAGAACTGCTAGAGCTTGTTGCCTGAACTGGAAGAGGGCACGTGTGGCTGTGTGCAGATTGACTGACTGATAGATCTGCTGCTTGTGAACGTCAAGCACCTGCATTTTAGCAGCTGTCTGACCAACTGTATAGTAAATGACTTCACACTGCACATTATGAATCAGTGTGTCATTCTTTAAGAAGCGATTTTATATTTTTTGCTTGTTTTGGCATCTTTCACAGATTAACTGGTGTGTTCCTGTAGAGGTTTTATTTAGATTCGTTACCAGCCAGAACACACTCAGACACATACATGCACAAAGGAAAATGAACTCACAATGTGACAGTACAAACTCTTGCTTGTAGTTATTGCGGTTATTCTTGCTGTATCGACTGATTGGAAGATATTACTACCCTTGTTTTTTAAATATGTGTTCATAAAAATATAACAGAGGTTGTCCAAATTTGCTGATTGAAGATCTGGTGTCAGTAGTCCAAAACCTTTGACGCTAGTTTATATGAATTGCAAAGGAACAATAGTCATGTAAGAAAGAATGTTTTCACCAAACTCTATGCAGTCCTGCGAAAAACTAACTACACCTTATGATTCAGTATCTTGCAGATCCTCGTTGAGCAGTAGTACCCTGAAATAATTGCTGGCCCACTCTTCTTTACATCATTGCTTCAGTTCTTTTACAAACATTTCTTTCTGCACAGGTCACACTACAGCATTTCAATTCTCAATTGAGTTGAGGTCTGAACTTTGATTAATATATTGTAAAACCTTGATTCTTTCCCTTTTCAACTGTGATGTATGTCTACGATCTGTGCTGCACGACTTAATTTGGGTCAAATAAATGACTGCAAGGTCACCAGGGCCTGTGGCTTCAAAACAAGCCCAAATCATCACCCTTCCACCACCATGCATTGCAGTTGCTATGAGGTGCTTGTGCTGATATACTGGTTTGGTTTTCATCAAACACGGTGCTGTGCACCATAGCTAAACATCACTACTTTGGCCACATCTGTCCTAAGTCTTTCTAGAAGTCTGATTTATTCAGATGCTGCTGTGCAAAGCTAAAAGCTGTCAAAATTTCAGAGGTGAACACACTCACTGATAATGAATTAATGAAGAGCATTTGATTATTAGCACCTGGCTGTTACTTAGTTGCTATGGGTACAATAAGCATGAACTTACATAACTATCATTAAATAAATAGATTTGTTGATCTTAAACATGGGCAGCACAAAACACAGGATGGTTTGAAGTCCCATTATAAAGCCTCAAGCTGAGTGTTTCGACTTGTGATTGGCAAGCCATTAGCCAATGAGCCGGCATAGTTTACTGGGATAAGAGAACAAGGAAGCTGAGGGTCGTAGACTTCTATAAAACTGGAAGGCTTTCTGCAACCCACTGCTGGTCATTAGGAAGAATGCAAGTTTAAGGCTTTTCCATGTTGGCTTCAGTTTTCAGACCCATAAACTTCATCCATCTTCTATACCATCTATGATTTAAACTTGTATCATCTGGCATGTTATTGTAAACCTATTAAACAGTTGATTGGTCAAGCTTTGACTATAGGACACACTCTTTCTTTTTTAGTTCCATTTTGGGTCTCGACCAACTCAGTGTGAGTGTGTGAAATATCTAACTCCTTATCCGTTTCGTGTCCTTCTACAATCTCAACTGGTCTCCGTCCTCTGACCTGACTGATGTTTGACTTTCTCAACTTCAGAGCAGGGTAGCTGAAAGACGACAAAGTGCCCACATTAAACGTCTTTTCTTTTTAAATGCATTTGGAAGACTTCTACCTTGTTAAAAAACTAAAACAGGGTAATCTTCAAATGTTAACCACGTGTGAATGTTCCTCCAGTTTTTTGTTTTTTTTACTTGACCAGAGTTTGAATCATCATGTGTTGTTTTCCATCAACATAGTCAAAAGCATTTTAACCTGCTGTCAAGAAACACCCACTCAGGTAATCAACCTGCCATTACAGCCAGCGTGGGTGACTCTGACAGAACCTGCAATCAGAGAGCGCTCGCTCAGTCGTTACAGGCCCAACACAAATGGAAATATGCTTACAAAATTATTATTATTTAAACACCAAAATGCTCCTGCTACATACCAAGCAGAATTGTTAGAAAATAGCATCAAACAAAGACCATAGTTTAAAACACCATTCAGATGGGACTAAGATTACACAGGTAAACATTAGAAAACATATTCCCTGTTGTTTGTGATAGTTTAACTCATTCTGAGAACATTTTTAACCTCAGCAAAATTACAGAAAAGGGTACGTAACATTAAAACAAAAAAAAACAAAAACAAAAAACAAGTAAAAAAGTCTTTTTTTCCTACTGACAGTAATCTGTATATTCATGAATAGAGGCTGTACAGCGTGGGTAATTCGATAAATTTAGAGTGAATATTAGTCGTTTTCTGTAACTGTGACTTACTTGGTGTCATTTGTCCTCTGTTTTCCAGAGCAGTGCAGAATCTTTTTTATTTTTTCTGGCAAAGTCTAATCCTCTGGTATCCTTTGTAACCAGTGGTTTGCACCTTGTTGTAAACCCTCTGCATTTCCACTCATGAAGGTGTCTCTTGACAATGAGCCACCTGCAGTTGCGACAGCTGTTGACTGGGCTGTTTGTCGTGGAAGGTTTTATCTTAACCCAGGAAAGAATTCTGCAATCGTCCAATTCATTGGTCTTCCAGACCTTTTGATGTTGCTAAGCTCACCAGTGCATTCATCCTATCCAACATTGATTTGGCCACTCTTTTTGGTATACTTGGAATCAGTTCAACAAAGACTAACAAGGGAACAGGTTTTACCTCTCCAAACCACTTGATCAAACCAACACTCATCTAGAATGTCATCTCTGCGTTTTGCAGTTGTCCTGCTGGTTTGTTCAGGTGGTGGCCTCCAGCGAGCACTGAAGCAGTTTGCAGCAGAATGTGAGGCGGCAGGAACAAGAATTGGGACCTCCAAATCTGAGGCCATGGTCCTCAGCTGAAAAAGGGTGGAGTGCCCACTCCGGGTCAGGAACAAGTTGCTGCCCCATGTGGAGGAGTTGAAATATCTCGGGGTCTTCTTCGCGAGTGAGGGGGGAGGGGAGATTAACAGACACTTTGCAGCCACGCCTGCAGTGATGTGGATTGTGTTCCAGTCCGTCATGGTAGACAGAGCTGAGCATAAAAGAGAAGCTCACCATTTACCGGTCCATCTACGACCCTACCCTCACCGATGGTCATGAGCTTATGTAGTGACTGAAAGTACGAGATGGCAGATATCAGCAAAGCAAGCTTTCTTCAAAAGGTGGCTGGACTCTCCCTTAGAGAAAGTGGTGAGTTCACTCATCCGAGTAGGGCTCAGAATAGAGCCTCTCCACATCGAAAGGAGCCAGCCTAGTAGAATGCCTCCGGCTGTAGGTGTTCCTGGCACACCGAGGACCTCCTGCCAAACTAAGCTAGAGGTGGTGGCTGGTGAGAGGGAAGTCTGGGCCTCTCTGCTTAGGCTGCTGTCTCTGTGACCCATGCCCCGGATAAGCAGAAGAAATGGGTGGAGGCCTGGATGTATGAATAGCATTCTCCACCATCTCACAAGACTATTGCAGGTTCTTGATTTCAAACTCATACAAAACATTAAACAGTTGCTCTTTAACAGGAAACTAAATAAAGGCTTCTGAGGCTTTATGGTGCCACTACATTCAGCACCAATTAGGCATTTTTTGGTAAGAAGATTAAACCAAAATAAATGCTCAGCTTTGTACAGCGTCCAAGACAAAACACACCGGAGACAAGAAATTCAACCAGGGAAAAGTTGGTGTTCTCTGTATTTATTCTTTTCTTTTTCTTCCTTTGCTGTGCTCTTTGTGAGGAGCATAAATATTTTACAGAGCGAGAACATCAGTCTGGTTATTTACAAGATAAAATAAATGACGTACAACTCACAATGTCGGCTTGTGTTTGGAGAGCTGGAGGAGGAGGAGTAAAGGGAAGGAGGAAAAAAAACCTACAGCCGTTTTACAGTTTGACTTGGAGTACCCCAACCTCGACTCTGACTTCACAAACAGAAACAAAAAAAGGAGCTAATAGACTGTGGCGCGATGGCACGACTGAACACACGGGAGCAGCAACTGCAGAGGTCTAAACCAGTGAATTATTCCATAGAGAGAACAAAGCAGATAAATAAAGAACGACACAAAATTCCAGTGTCTTCAGCAGTCATCAGTCCATTTCTGGTGACTTTCATGCTCTCTTTGGGGGGAATTATGGCAGTAGTTCATTTAACAAGAAAGTTGCCTACAATGACCACTTTGAACACGGTGATAAACCTGCAATCGGAACCAGTGACTTTTCTGTCCTCTTCAGTTTGAGCTCAACCGGAAAAACTTGTGACTTGTGAACGTCAACCTTCAGACTTCCTGGCTGCCCCCTTTAGACAGTATAAGCAAGTACTGTTTGGATGACAGTGGAAGTGCTTGCGTCCTCCTGTTTTGTGCAGTTTCAATTTGGAAAATAATCTCAATATTAAAACACGAAGACTGCAACTGAGAACTTTTTGCATTTTCTGTTTAATTATTTTCACACTGCCCGGGAATACTTCAAATTCCTTATTTGGATTAATTAGCAGCTCAAAACAAAGAGATCTTAAAAGTATTGTCATGAAAGACATCAAAACAACGGCCTTTTTGATTGTCAGATGGTCACAAGATGTGAACTCCATCTGGTTGAAACCTGGCAGGTAAGCAGGAGCAGTTTCCATGGGAACAGGAACGTACACCAAGCTCTCTTGATTTACTTTGAGATCATTCAACTTTTGATCTCCATGTTCCTTCCTGGCAAAACTTGAGGTGCCCAACACAAACACTGAATAATTCATTTATTTTAAAAAAGAAAGTTAGCTGTGATGTATCACCTGTGTTCAACATACCCACACACGAGCTCCACCACAGCTGGGGCACAGTCCAAACGCCAGGCCCGCTCATCAATACTCGCTCAGATCCTGACGTCGATCGATACGCCCGCAGGTCTGGTGTCTAATAATTCAGGCAAACAAATGCGACTCGTTCAAACCCGGGTTAAACCGGATTGAGCCGTTCAAACCTTCAGGTAAAGTCAGAGATGAACCCGAAGACCGTCCGTGCCGAGTGTGCAGTTTTGAAAGGAGGAAACATCTGCTGTGTCAGGAGTAATGAAGGAGGCTGAGGAACTCATGCCTACAGGAGGTACAGAAATAACACTGAGGCCTGCATGGAAAATAAACCCCACCAATATTAAATCAATGCTGCTGATTCTCCATTAAGGAGAAAACTGAGGTTGTTTCCTCATGCCAGTGTCAAGCTTGCCAGCATGTTGTTTGTGTGTTTGTAGCTCTTCACTCACACACAAAGAAAATCATGAATGGAGGGATACATTCCTATTTAGAGATTGAAAGGCACTCGTGCTAAACCGTGTAATGGACAGCACTAGTGGGTCCCAGCTCACAAGCATTCAGCTGAAAACAGGAAATGATCAGACTCAAAAGAGCCCCAACCTGAACACCGAGTAACAAGACAAAGCTACTGTTTTTATTCTATTATTGTTTCAAAGTAGGTCAAAGGAAGTGTTCGCAACAAGTACCAAAGAAGACAGAAAGGCTCACCGCGAGTGTCCCTCTCAGGGTGGAAGAGAGCGAAAAAGAACGAGGAGGAGAAGGAGGAGGTTTGTGCGTATCGACTCAAGTGCAACTTAAGGGTATTTTCTGGGTTTGAGACTTTGAGTAAAGGGGGGGGGGGCTGTTCAGAGTCGTGTCATTGTGCCACAGAGCCAGAAAGAGGTTCAACAAAGGGCTAACCTAATGTGTCTTCTCTCTAGCTCATGTTGCTGTTTGATTGGGTAGTGGAGTGGCGTGTTGTTGATAGGCTGACCCAGCGGTGTGAGAGAGGAAGTGCTTGGAGGAAGAGATCTGAAAGGTTGGGTTTCTTAGATGGGCAGCTGGAAAGTGATGTCCACTTGAGCTTCCTTTGCAAGGGAGACGATTTCAGAAAGCTTTACAACCTGTGGACAGAGCAGAGTGGGCTCATGAAATAAAATTTAACATAACATACTTTTACAATTGACCTTTATTTAACCAACAAACCCGTGTTTTAAAAAGGAGACCTTTTTTTAAGACAGTCAATACAGAACAGATGACACAAATGATACAGGTCTCTGAAGTCATGCAACTGTTTCAATGGGATCCCAATCCTCCTCCTGACTGTGCTTGAAAAGTCTGAAATTCAGGTGTTATGCAGGTATTCTGCTTTCAATTTAGGATTGAGACATAGTGCACTTCAGGTTTGACAGCTGACATCCCCATCACTCACAGCAGTCATGCTTCACTTCACATCATTACTACCAACTTAGCCGCTGATGTTCTACGTTTCTAAAACTTTTTCTAGAACTTTTACCGTGGGAGTGGGCCGCCCAAGTGTCATCTAGAAGACGCATATTTTTCTCTCGCCGCACGCACACCTCAAACTCTACTTGAACAGTCACAGAGCAGCTGCACCTGTTAATCAGCTGATTGCACATGTGCAGTCTTGTTCTTGTGGTTTGTGAACTGAGACACATGCTGCAGTTTCATGCCATATCATGTCATACTTGTCTAGTAATTTTCTCCAAAATCATATTAATTCTAAAGTTTAAAAAAATTTTTTTAGTTATTTTGGCAGAACAAAAATACCAAACACGACAACTACTAATACAGGTGACTGATACACGTTTATTTTCCTAATCTAATAACAAGGACTCTCCACTCACAACAATTTAAAGGGTTTTCATTCTTTCTCATCTTTCCTGAAAATCTTTTGTATTCTAACTACAGAAGAACAGAACAAAGGCTTTCATTTCCTCGCTAACTCACATATCTAACAAAGCTGATCCTGCTCATCACTAATATCCTGTTTTTAGATCAAATACAACCATTTTCTACATATATAATCGTTACATGAAAGCTGGAATCAGTCCACTTTTAAGCAATTAATCAAGCAGCTTAATTGGATGTGAAAAGTGTTTAGAACAGAGTAAGATTTAATAAAATGTTATCAAACTGCCTCCCGGCACACCTGCTCCCCAACCCTGTTCTCACATACGCTTTCACACTGTTGCTGCTTTCTGGTTACTTTGTGCTATAAATGTAAAGTGACGTTTTTCCTCACACACTCACACACACACACACACACCCTCCGCCTCCTCACATACAGCGACACATCTAAAGGCAGGTACATGTCAGCTCTGCTCTCCCCATTCATGACGTGAGCATTTGAGTTGAACGTGGGTCTTTGTGCGTACCATTTTTGCAGCTTCGTCCAGGTCGTCGCAGGCCAGGATTTTCAGTGGACTGGCAGCAATCAGAGCTTTGGCGTCGTCCACTCTTGTTCCTAAGAACAAACAAAAAAAAAAAAAAAAAAACACATGAAAAAAAGTCAGTTTTTCAAAACAGCAGTACCTTTGGCCACCCTACAGCTGTGTCACTGTCAGAACTGATAGAGTTTCTTGATACGGCAAACATTCATTTGGATGCTGTTGAATGTTTTTGAACCTCGAGGAAGCTAATAACCTCCTTGTGGTTTTCTGTGGATACCTGTGCCTCCTGTACTGTCCACCCTCAGACCACAGTTTCCATTTGCACTCGGGAAAAACAAAGCTGAATGTCTAAAAGGTCTTTCCAGAAGTTTGGAGAGCTGATGAAGTTTCTTTGATGAAAAAGAAAATGTTCGCCGAACCAAAGTGAAAACTCAATTTCCCTAAAACTGCCCTATAACCTCCCAGCAGAGAGTTTTTATTAAAGCTGCTGTCACACAGGAAGCCGTTGCCTCCTCCTTTGTTTGGTGGATGCCTTCACACTTCATGGTTCAACTTTTTTCAGCTTGCCTCTGTGGCTTGGTGTGCAGCCATGGCAACCACAGATACAACCATAGGGGAAAAACGGTAACGGAGGCTTATTTTACAGGTACTTCGTCAGCAAAAAGAAGACAAATCAATGGAGATCAACAACGTCTGCTTTAATGCCTGATTATACAGACAGACCTCACAACCCAGAAAAGAATTACAAACAGAGCAAAGCAGACACATCCATTACAGAATTAGCCACTGACACAAATACACAAACCCATGAATCCAGGATAAACCAGGAAGCAGTCTTAGACACGAAAGAGCATGTATAAACATACCAAAGTAACTTGTCAGTGTGTAGACACACACACACACAGTATATTTATTATTTAAAAAAAAAAAAAACATTAAAATTTTAAAAGAGAGCATGTTCCTATTTTGAAAGGAGAACGTGGTCCATTCAAGTTTCCAGAGTCGAATTAGGAGCTGTGACCCATCTGATGTATCCGAGTCCGGCCCCGATTAACAAGTCATTTGGTCACACGCACATTTGTGGATTGGCTCACAGGAAAAGCATGTCTTTGTGCTGATGTAGAGCCTTACAGAGGTGCTACTTGTAGCGCTGACTTAAAATCCATGAAGCATCTGAGTTTCAAGCTCATCGGTGTGATGCTTAAAGTTTATCAAAGTTAAAAACACCGCAGATATGTTTAAGAGGTTACAAGGCAGAATTTAACAGCTTTGGAAAGTTATTCCAACTACTTTCTTTTACCCTTTACCACTAACTTTAGAAGATAAAAGCAGATGAAGAATACATGAAGGAATTCTTGCCAAATGAATCAAATGCATCTGCTGCAGTCCATCTTACCCTGTACTGCAGGGTGTTAAAATTCAAATAGCCTTCAGAGTTTTAGACTAACAGCAGAGTATTTAGTTTCAGATGACTGAATGACTGAGTACTCTGAAGCCTTACAGTATCAACCGCACTCAGTCAATTAACTTCATTTTGAAGGTAGAAAAACAAACCACAGTATTTAATCACATCGCTATAGGTAACCAACAAAATCTCAGTTACATTCAACCATGTCCAAAAACTGTGTGTGTGAAAATACTCCCTGAAGAAAATATAAAATACACAAAGTTTCTGCTATGGTCAATATTAATGAGCAATTTTTTAATTGTGCAAGTATGTTAAGTATGTCCAAACCTCTAAAGAAGCACACATCACTACAAAGGAACTGAAAACATCTGCTGCAAACCATGAACTAGGATGTACTCTGCTAAAGAAGGCAACTTCCTCTGTTGTTGAACCTTTCACCCATATCTTATTTTCTCTTTGAAACAGATTTTATACAAAGTGACCTTAAAGCAGCCCAAGTCCATCTCTGTTCAGGTGACTCCAACAAGGAGTCATCATCCAAAGCCTTGTGACACTGCTGATCATAACATCCTATATAAAAAAATAAATAAATAAAAAAAATACAGCATGCAAGGAGCAGCCAATCAAAAGAAAAGGAGGGTGGCATTAACTTTTTAACCCTTGAAAGCCAATCAGCAGTAACAATTGAAGCTTTTCAGAACTGAGTCATTTCTGTCATATTTCAGGCTTATAGAACAAAATGAATGGGTGTGCATCAGAAGTTAGCAAGGGCCTGGGTCTCTGACTATGCAGCTACCCAGAAACTATTATAATGGTGATCAAACCATGTCTTTGACATATACTGAGTCAAAACTCATGATTAAGGGGAGGTCAGGTGAAGAGGAGGCCATCAAATGTTGTTTTTAATCAAGGAAAGATTTAACGGGTGAGGAGCTGAAATATCTCATTTCAGAGAGCATATGAACTGAGTGGCAGCACTGAGGCTCTGTACGTGATAAATAAGGAATACATTGATTATTTTCAACATGCAAAGCTTCCCTAAAATTAAAAAAAAAACCCAACAACACCAAAACTACCCGTCCTGTTCTTCACCAGTGCATTTACACTTGCAGACAAGACCACAGAGGTGCTAATTGAGATATAAGACAGAACTACCTAATGACTCCGCTTCTACATCTTAGATTATAAAATGCGTAAAGAATAACTTTTAAAAAACTGATTAAACATGTAAACAGAAGGCAGCGCTCCTGTTTAATTCACGTAACGTGTCTAAAGCTGCAGTGCCGTTACAGTCTTGGCGCTGGAACGCAAACCTCAGCAGCAGCATTTTGAGGTGACATCCTCTCGTTTCCAAAATAGAAAACAGGAGCAGAAAATGTTACCCTGAGGAAAACTGAGAAATGTCAGCTCTGTTTAGGCTCCATGCACCATTTCTTTGTGCTTGCAAATTTCACTGCCTTGCACTGCCGAATGAATAAAGATGAGAAAACCAAATTGGCAGAGGAATTTCACCCAGTGAGGGATTCAGCTCTCTGGAAGGCCACAAAGGACCAGCAAGTCTTTGTATTCAACACTTGGCCTCCTTTGATAATATAGAGTATGAATGTACATATGCATATATCACACGATATCACAATAATTCACACCTCATTTGTGTTTGTCGTTTTCTGCGCGTTTCCAGGAGCCAGACTTTGAAGTAGGAAGCATCAAATGAAACAGACACGAGTCCCCCCCCCCTCAGCACTGCCAGCTGCTGCCAGTTAACCCGCCTGACAAGGTGGGGGAGAGTGTGTGTTTCCACTGGAGGGGGAGCCTGTGGCTGTGGTTGATCCAGAACATTACAACACTGTGTTTGGGACCAAACCCCTGTCTATTTCCATTTCCTTTTAAAACAAGGTTTAGGCTGTTGGTCAGGTTGGTAATGAAATCTGCGTTACAAATATCTGTACTTGTTTTCAATCTGAGATACTGTGCTGGAGAGTTGTCAGGATTTCCTTGCATTCCATAGCTCGCTAAGATCAGACATCCCTGAATTCAGCAAGATCTTCTCATGGAGGGATCCCGAGGGGCTCCTAGTGCAGATGAGATATATATAATCTCTGATCCTGATCTCTGATCCTATTCCCAAATCACTTCAACTGGCTGCTACCAGATGTCTGAGGTCGTCATCCTTTCGTTCAACATTCAGAAGGAGGGAAGCATCAATCCCCCATCAAATTCATGGGAAATTATTTAACAACAGTAAAAATTCAAATAAGGATAAAGTCAAAGCTTCAATTTAACAAGTTAATGAATACAATGCCACATTTTAAATCCTTTTAAGAAAATTTAAAAAAAAAAATAGCAGTTTGTTCCTCACCTTGTAACCGGACAACGATGGGTATCTTGAGGTCCAAGTCTCTTACAGCCATGATGATACCCTGGGCGATGACGTCACACCTCATAATTCCTCCGAAGATATTGACCAGGATAGCCTGAACCTGAGGAAAAAAAGAAAAAAGAAACAACTTCATCAAAAACTGAATGTTGATGAGCTCAGAGGGGTGAGCTACATCGAGCTTCAACAGTTTCCTGTTTAAAACCATGAACAGCCTTTGGAAGCTGGCATCTTCTTACCCTCCTGTCAGAGGTGATGAGTTTGAAGGCCTCCGTCACCTGATGAGCTGTGGCTCCTCCTCCTACATCCAGGAAGTTGGCTGGTGTGCCGCCATGGAGCTTGATGATGTCCATGGTAGCCATGGCCAGACCTGCTCCATTTACTAAAACAGACAAAGCCACTGGTCAAATGATTCAGGCAGACGATTTTCTTCTTTTGCACTGAATATGTACTGGAAAAAAAAAACCCCAAAACACTCATTGATAATAAGACTGACATTAAATGGAAACGCATTACATTTAAATCACAACTAAAAGAGCTCCTACTACGACAGTGCTGTCTTTACACTCAAAGACTGGTCTGATAGTCGTTATAAAAAGCCAATTGGTGATAGGCTGGTAGGTTTTAATGGCTGATACTGATGCACCACTTTGCACTAAAGCAGCTCAGGTGTGTACTTCTAGGTCTGAAACTAACTGTGCTTCTTCCTTATGTTATGTGAAAGTGGTTGGAAATGGTTTAATATCCATTTTGAAATCTTTAAATGATGACAAAACATTACAGACTCTCACTAAAAAGAGTTTTTACACATGGAAACAAGACTTGGGTGCCACTGTGCTGTAAAATACCACCCCATTGTATTTATGAGTCCCTCGCACTTTGAGCCAGTAGAAAGTGTTAGAGCCAACAACAAGCTACTGAGTTTGGATATTTTTAAAGACATAAGAAAGAGGAAAAAAAACACAGTGTATGATCTGCTTTTCATTGTTAAGAGACAGAATTGTGTCAGATAAGCTAGCACAGCACTGGACACAACACAGCAGCTCAGCTGGACCTGTGAACTGTTTCTGAGACATTGTTTAGAGTAAGTCAAGAAAAACAAACAGTTCCACTAAAAGGCCACAAGGTGTCTTATTTGGTGGCTTTATGTTGTGGGATGCTGTGTATGGAGTTGAGGTGGCTAGAAAGTTGAGGGAGAAAAAGACAGTAAACAGGAGACTGACAGACTGCAGGATATCGCAGACAAATTAGCAAGCTCCTTTTTTTAATCTATAGATATTCATATCTTGTCCAGTTTGGTCATATTAATATCTCTGGGTTACCATTATAACCTATAACGTTCATTTTCTGTCTGGCACAACCGAGCATTATGGGAAATGCAGTACCCAATCAGGATTACAACTGAGAACATATCTCAAAATGACCACCAAATAGGTTCAAAAGCTATAATAAACACAAAAAATGAAACTACTAAATAGCTTTTCTGACATTTCGCTTGGACTGACCCAGACAGCCGATGGTTCCATCAAGACCGATATAGTTGAGGTCAGCCGTGGCGGCCTGCCGGTCCCGCGGGTCCTCTTGAGTCCAGTCCCGCAGTTCAAACACTTTCTGCTGGCGGTACGCTGCATTGGAGTCAAAGTTGATCTTGGCATCCATGCACATCACTGTTGACAAGGAGACACATAAGATTTTGACATTAGAAGAAGATCAATGTCAGCTCATCTCTCCATCTGCCAGAGAGCCATGCCACAGAGGTGTGTCACAGAGTGTTTCCAGAACTGGCACCAGGAATGTAAATGTGCAGCTGAGTTCTTTTTTTCTAAATGCATATCACCTCAGAAATGATCAAATAATTGAATATATATATATATATATATATGATCATGCAGAAGGAGGACCTAACAGCTCATCAGGCACTCAGCATAGTGTTTGGCACAAAGGTCAGCGGTCTCCTTTCCTCACAACTGTGTTTGAGAGCTGTGATTCATGCCTGAGGAGCTCATCACTGTGCATCAGGCAAAGCCATTAACTCTGACTCACTGACAGAACAACACGCACACCTCAGACTGAAATCAATCTCCTCATCATCTCCAGGATGCTTTCATGGACAAACCCCAGTGCATTCCTCTTTGCCAGAGACCCATAAGTCCAGTTAAATTAGTCTGTTCCGCAAAATGAAAATGACCTTTAGAGGCCAAGAGCTGCACAAGCATACCAACCACACACCATTCACATCTCAGTCAGCAAGACTGCAAACCTGGGCAAGACTAGCATGGCTCCATTTTTCTTTAATGTCAACTAGGCCCGGGAAATTAAAGAATCCTGATATTTGTCAAGAGGTAAATTCCCCAACTAATGATTAAACTGACAAGTCGTGTATGGTTAATGTCTGTCAGGGTCAACCCTCTTGAGCAACATGACTGTGCAGCTGAAAAAAAGTGCAACTCCAACCAATCTTCCGGAAGATTTGAAAAAGAGTGAAAGAGTGAAAAATGCAGCAAGAAGCCGATGCTGCTTCTCGCTTATATTTAGTAAAAAAAGAGACCCTAGGCACATGCACGTCAACAAAAATGATTACACAATTCAGTCCAAGTACATATTTTTCTGAACAACATGACTGATAACACAACAGCAGTGAAGAGTTGTAGTTTAATGTGGAAGTAAAGCCTCTCTTTGCTGTGTAGCATTCACAGCAACAGCGCTTGTTACTATAATCACCATGAAAGCATTTCCTGGTAAAACAAAAGCTAGCAGAGTTTTTATAATCAATCCACCTGTGCAAAAAAAAAAAAACAAATAAACAAAAAATGGTGGTTGCCCAGTGATTGCATTGAATATTTTACTTTAAAGAAGGATTGCAAACATTTGCCAAAAGATTTGGTCAGTCTGCCAATGAGCTGAACTCTCTGATGAGTCTCTTTGCAGTAGGAGACTCAACTGGTCACCGGGCAGCTTGTATTCTGGTTATATTAAGGTCACCGAGCACCAAGTCACTTCCCAACTAAACAGTCGTCCTGAAGCAACTATATCACTATTTATTAAAGGTGATTTCTGTGCATGGAGATGACCACAGGTCTGTGATTCCCAGGGATTTATCACAGTTAAATGGCATACTATCACAAAACAACCCCATTCAGTTGCAAACTGATAGCAGTGTCTTGATTCAGTTTTATCACCAAAGGTCTTTAATGTGACAGCCAACTGTGACCGGTCACAGGTCTGATACCCATCTTCAAAGCAACCATGTCCAAGGTAACAAGATTGCTACTTCATTGCAATAAATGTGGTTTTGCAGCAGCCTCTCACCACTGTTTTCCTTAATAATATTATTTTTGGATTAAGACATAAAAAAATGTAATTAATTTTTATGAAATGCCATCAATGAAATGAATGGCCATTTTTTAGATTACCAGATTTACAAATCCTTAAAAAAAATTCCAAAACTAAATTTGGGCACCTGCATGCTTTTCATTTGAATACATGCTGAACTGTTCGGTAAGACCAAACTGGTTTTTACATTTATTAAAATACCATAAAATAATGCCATTATATTCCTTTTTCAAGCTTTTCCTAACCTAACAGTGACTCTGACTCTGTGTTCAAAGAGGATGTTTTCTCTTTTGTTCTCCAGACCACATGATTAAAAATTCAATGAGACAGAATGTGTGCGATAGAGAGTGGAACAGTGATATTATGACTCAGAAGGGAAAGATTAGTCTGTTCTAACTCAGGTTGCATCTCTGATGGATTTTAACAGTTTCCTGCTACTGAAAGCTTAAAATGTGCTCAAAACAACTGTAAACACATGTGTTTGCCCACATGATCAGGCTATACATCACTCCAAACAGCTGGGTTAGGTTAGGGGAAAAGGCTAGACAAGACCCAGCACCATCCTACAAGGACAGAAACGCAGACAGGTGCATGTGTGTGCGCCTACCAATGCCAGAGGAGTCTTCCACCATGGGATTGATCTCGACCATTGACGCGTCATACTTAATGAACAGATTGTACAGTTTGACCATGGTCTCAGCTGCCTCATTCACCAGCGCTGGAGGGAAGCCCATCTTCTGAGCAACCTGCAGACAGATTTACTTTGTCAAAAAAAATAAAAAAATCAGCAGCGAGCTATTTTCAAACAAATGGCAGAGAAATGCCCAAAGAATACATGTTTATAGCCACGATCAGGGGATCCAAACATAAAGCCCAGGGGCCAAAATCGGCTTGAGAAAAGACTGCACTCCGGCTTTGGAGAATGTGAAGGAGGATTTTATACTTTTAGGTTCACAGCATTCGCTACAAAGTAATTAAGTAATTAGAAAGAAAGAAACTTTCAGTATTTTCATATTTTTTTGAATGATCAAATATCTTCTGTTTTATAACTACGAAGCAGCTTAAATTAAAGTGTACAGCTACAGAAAAAGTTCTGGTAGGTCATTGCCCAAAAAGTCTTGCTGACAGATTTACTTACCACTGCAGCGTTTCTTTATCACGTAGAAACACTGAGCTTGTGTGGTTTACTTACATTAAGATTTGTCAGGAATTAAATGTGTAGTAAAACTTCTGTACACTGAGAGAAAGGGAGTTCTGATCATTATCAACAATGGCATAAGAATTATAGCTTGATTTAAGCATCTCCTCTAACTGTCCTGATATCTTTAACATCTTTCAGCTCATTGTTTTGGTTTTCTTGGTCACATATGTAGCACTTTGTCTCATTCACTGCTCCCACAGAGCTTAATCCTGTCGACATTAAGACAAAAGTGAAATTTCAAACAGAAACAGTAGCTTTGACAGGTCTCATTAGAAGCACGGAAAGCCTGCTGGGTCTGTAAGAACATCACGTTGTTTGAAAAATGTGGTCTTGGCGGACAAAAATAAATGCAGCGAAGGAATATCAATGCCGCTCCATCTAGTTTGAGAGCCCTGCAATCAACACCTCTTCTCTCTGTCAAATATATTGAGTCCCTGCTTTCACTATGACAACCAACATATTCAATATTCAGAGCCAAAGAGATGTGCAGCAACAGGGGAACAGGAATAAAGTGGAAAGGAAAAGAAAGACAGTCAGAAGTGAGACAGGGTGGAGAAATGAGTACATCTGTAAACAAAATAAATCAAGTCCACCAAAAACAAGAAAGAACTCCAGCATTAGCTTCTGAAAGTCAGCTGATAGAAAAATAACAAAATTCATGTTTCTTTTAAAGGTGATTAGAATAATTTCTTCATGAACTGTGTTCTGTTTGAATGATTTTCTTATTACTACAATTCCTCTAACTTTGCTTTTAGAGAACTCAAGTCTAGAATCAGTGCTTAATGTTTCTGAGGGGAAGAAGCCATTGTTACTTTCATTTATACCAAAGCAGGTGACACTGGGTCTGTCCTGTTGTGCATCCTAACTGGACAGACTGATGTCCAGAGGTTTAACTGACTTGGTGTAAGACTGCGATGATCAAGTGTTCCCTTCATTTTATTTTGAGCAGTACATATTTACAGTGGTAAAAGACTGATGGCAGCTTCCGTGAGAAAACCCAACAAGAGCCGTCCAGATACAGCTTGCAACTGTGAAAGCACTCCTGCTGATGTAAGAAGAAACAGAGGGAGAACCTGATGAAGCCTTCTGTAATTATGAATTCCAAGTTGATTTATGTCAGGAAACAAGCAGACATAATGTGTCATGGCTACAGGGCGATCACTTCATCTTTGTAGTTTGTTTGTTTTTTTAAATTGAAATTATTATTAAGATCATGTTTCTGTGTTAAGCGCATTTTTTTAAGATCGGTCAAGAAGAAGCTTTTGCAACGTGCAGATGCCGTGATAATGATTATTAAACATGATCGTTTTGCGAAAGCTGTAATGTTTTGAGTTTGTTCAGGTGATCTGGAAATAAACTACAGTTAATGGAGTTCATGATCCAAGTGTGATTGAGTGAACACACCTGAGCGCTCAGCTCAAGTGTGCTGAATTTTCCCCCTAGTGCTTTTTACTTGTTCGGTACATGTAGCAGGAACATCCTCACTCTCTCACAAGTAGCTGCTCAAGTAGCTGTAAAGTACAGCAGCTACATTACAAACACTGCAGCATCATCTTGTTGACAAAAGGTAGACCACAGTGCATCAGAAAGTATTTGCAGCGCTTCACTTCTTCCACATTGGCCCATAATGACAGCAATAATGATGATGAAACAAACATAATGACACAATTACAGCCTCAAGTCATTTTTAGTATCATGCTCAGGTTTTTTGTGTGTGTGTGTGTGTGTGTGTGTGTGTGTGTGTGTGTGTGTGCTTTTGTCTGTTGATTATAGGATCCGCATTCGTTAGTCAGGAACTCTCAGGCTCTATCAGACTTTATGCAGAGCGTTGGTTGGCAGCCCTTTTAGGATCTCTCCAAGATGTTGAATTGGGTTCAACTCTGGGTTCTGGCTGGGCCACTTGAGGATATTCACAGAGTGCTCCTGATGTCCACTCCTTTGTTATCTTGTCTGTGGCTTACGTTCATTGTCCTGTTGGAAGATGAACCTTTGCCCCAGTCAGAGCGCTCTAGAGCAGGTTATCATCAAGGATTTGTTTGCACTCATCTTTCCCTCGACTTTGACTAATCTCTCAGTTCCTGCTGCTGAAAAACATCCCAGCATGATGCTGTCACCACCATGCGTCACTGTAGGGATGGTATTGGCCAGGTGATGGGCAGTGATGAGCGTTTGATCTTTCTTTCCTCAGACCAGACGATTTTGTTTCTCGTGGTCTGAATCTTTCAGGTGACTTTTGGCAAACTCCAGGGGGGCTGTCATGTGGCTTTTACTGAGGAGTGGCTTCTGTCTGGCCACTCTACCATGCAGCACTGATTGGTGTAGTCCTCAGAAATGACTGTCCTTCTGGAAGGTTCTCCTCGCTTCACAGAAAAATGCTGGAGCTTTGTTAGAGAAACCATCAGGTTATTGGTCAGCTCCCTGACTAAGGCCCATCTACCCTGATGGCTCAGATTAGTCAGGCGGCCAGCTCTAGGAAGAGTCCTGGTGCTTCTTCCACTTACAGATGATGGAGGCCGCTGTGCTCACTGGGACCTTCAATGCTGTTTTCTGCACCCTTCCTCAGATCTGTACCTCAATACAATCCTGTCTCAGAGGTCTACAGACAATTCCTTGGTTTGTGCTCTGATATGCACCTTTAGCTGTCGGACCTTACATGTATATAGACAGCTGTGTGCTTTTCCAAACAACGTCCACTCAACAGAATTGACCACAGGTGGACTCCAGTCAAGTTGTAAAAACACCCGACAGGCGATCAGTGGAAACATAATCAGAATCAGAATCAGAATACTTTATTCATCCCGAGGGAAATGCACCTGAGCTCAATTTTGTGTGTCACAGCAAAGACTGTGAAAAATTCTGTACATGTTATATTATTAATAAACTTGCAAGAATTGAAAGAAAATGTTTTTCACTTTGTCATTATAGGGTATTGTGAATAGAATTCTGAGGTAGAAAATGAATGTAATCTATTTTGGAATAAGGCTGTAATTTGACAAAAGTGAAACACTGGGAATATTATCCTGATGCACTGCAGGAATACCCAACCCTACCTACACAACCTGTTGTCCTTAAAAAACAAGCTTACTCCTTCATAAGGACTAGAGCCAGTGTCTTATTGAGACCATTTTAAAATTAACTGAGAACATTTCTTTCTTCATCGCCGTTATTGTTTGTACATCTCATGTGAAAATCTGATTCTGTAAAAAGCTCCAGCTGAATGTTTGTAGAGTCATCTTTGTAAATAAAGCACAACATGGAGCATTATTTATCTTGCTTGGCACATCATCTAAAACAGGATAAGGGTTTTTTTTCCCTCTAACAGATTATTTTAAAGGCAAACATCAGACTGAAAAATAAAAAAAAGTATGATTATTCTAAACCAGGCACCAATTTCATACTGTAAACATGAGAAAATATCAGTTGTTTTCTATAAGCCCTGGAAAATGATTATAACTTGGGCTCAGAGGAAAATTTGGGATGATGGGCGGAAATTTGTCATTAACGGATAACAAACTAAAAATTCGAAAAACCTTAATTATATCAAAAATAGGTGCAAAAACACACTAAGAAGAATGCAACAATTTCTCCAACCAATGACCTTGTTTAGATAAGAGTTAACCTTCTTTAAACAGCAAAGAGCACCTTCTGATTTAGACATTTTGGCACTCACTGCAGCATGAACGCACACAAACACACTCCCCTTTCTCTTCCTCCAAGTCTTCCTGCAGCCCAAACTACAAAGTGGGTGCACCTCAAGTCTGTTTCGTGACTTATTACATCTACCATTGATCGCACCTTGACAGCCTGCTCCATCTTAATACCCTCCACAATGTCGATGGGTTCCTTCACAATGGCATCTGGATTTTCCGCTGCAACATCTTCGATGTTCACGCCACCCTGTGAGCTGCCAATCAGCACAGGGCCCTGTGGGACACAAGTGGGAGGGATGGGGATTTAAAATCTTAGAGTTACTGCAACATTTTTGTTTCGAAATCTGTGAAACCTAAGCCCCGGATAGACACCTTTACAAAGAAAACGGGTGATTTAATAAGAGTGATTTTATGCAAGGAGGTTTTGACTATCCTCTCCCAATAATTACAATCAAAATTACCTTCTGTTTTTTTACTGACCTGGCTGCTCTTCCTGTAATTTAAATCAAATCTGAAGCCACATCCTTCAGACTTCCTATTTTTCTGTGTAAAAACTAAAAGATGCTATTGCCATGAAAAAAAAAAAAAAAATTCCAATGTCTTCAAACCTCTCATAACAAAAGCAACAAAGTAGTCTGTGCCTGCACAGTAAAATCACCGTCCTCATAATAAAATGCAAAAGACAACAATAAACAGTTTTATAATCATGTCATTTATCTTCAGATTATTTTCTCAAACCCTCAGATTTTCTATTTAAAGTCGTGTAAAACAGGAAAAAGAAGAAACTCTCAGACCGGAGTAAGTAATTTTCATTGTTGTTAGAAAAGCAACACTAAATAGTTTATAAAATATGAAAATACTTATTAATTTCACATTCATCTGATTGGCAATAGGCTAATCACTGAGCGCGCTGATTGCTTGCAGCAGCTTCATAAACACAGCTGCATAGAGAGAAAAAAATAAAAAGGTTATCCACACAAGTCTTCATGACTGCACATCCTAAGGAGGCTCCTCAGATCACAAACCCTGTTTAATACAAGGTTTTGTTCCAAAGACTCCTGAGCTGAGACCTCCTTATTTCTGCTGTGATGACGGCAAAATACTAAGAAGGAATTTCTGTGGTGAGCAGCATCTTTATCCCTTTCTCCATACAGTAAGAACATGTGGAATACATTACAATCAGAATTTTATACACTATATACAACAGTGTGCAAACGTTTTAAACACATAAAATTCTTGCTCACCGCATAGTTCATGATCTATGATCAAGTTATAGACACAATCGACTCAAATGTTAGCAGCTTTGCCTAATTATGAATAAAAACCTGAACAGCCAGTAAAGCATACAGACTCACTGAACCCTGAAAAAGATCCAGTGAAAGTGTTAAAATTCTTAACACATGTAAAAACACTGACTTTATACTGGTGTAAGTCATGCTGAACAGTCTTTATCTTCAGTATTGTGCTGCCATCTAGTGGTCAAAATCGGATTTAAGCAGGACAAAATCTGTTAACTGAATCACAACTTTTTTTTTTTTATGAAGATGAGTCAAGATGCATTTAAGCACTGACAGATGAATTTATGTGTGCTTTGCTTAATTTAGTCATCTGAATGAAAAGATGTGGAGGGGAGGTGCGATGTACAGTTTCATTACAAAAACAACAGTTAGTCTCATCTAAATCTTTAATTTCACATCTAATTTTTGTAGTTTATAAATTGCCTCTAATTTTTTCAGAGCTGACTTTTCTTATGATACAGATCTTAATTTAAATGAATGAGTAATGTGTTTAATGTGTTTAAGTAAACAAACAGCAGCAGCTTGAGCTTTTCACACTAGGCTTGCAGACTGTCAACAGCTCAACTAAAATAATCTAGAGCTCATTCAATGCCACGCAAGAACATCATGAGATTACTGTAGTGTAAGTGTACCTTCCCTAACACTTAGACTAATACTAATCACCTCTACACAGAGACTGATGGGTTATTAGTAACACTAAATCTGTGATTTTTTGGGGCCATTTAGGGGAGGAGCAAAGCCTGAACACCATTCAACATAAAAAATTTATCATCTCCTCTAAAGGTTTGTTTGAAAGGTTAATGCATGATTTACAAAACACAAAGAAATGGGCATTAAGAGCACTCCTTTTGAACTTTTCCACCTTTGTTGTTGTTTTTTTTAAGGAAATTCATTTCCCGTGAAAGCATCGTTCTCAGCTGAGCAAACACATCATTTGGCTTCTTGTGGGTGCGCCTGTGTTCCCTCACCTGAAAGGACCTCTCCATGGTGATGGCAAAGTAGTATTCTCTGCGTGGGTACCTGCGCTCGCAGATGAACACCTGGTTGCAGATACGACCCGCCTCCCCGGTCTGCTTGGTGTACAGCTTTCGACCAATCATCTGAGATGAAATGTCTCGGGCTTCCTCTGGCCTGGAGATGAGGAGGAGACAGGAAATTTAAAACTTTTTAATGCATAACAAGTTAATTAGAAAACTTAAGAAACAAATAGATAAAAACCTGTAAGGACAATACAAACTAAAATTATTAAACAGCTACTTGAGTTTATTAACATTTATATCATATCTGTCAGCACTACTTTCCTGAGCTAGTCAGTAAGCAGGAGAATGAGGATGGACACAGTTACCAAGGTTGTAAGTGTAATCTGCTCCGTGTATTGTACGGTGCAGAAAAAGTTAATTTCCACTCTTTACAGCCTTCGTCCTCTAAACAGCAGTATGCAAAGTCTGTGCAGTAACTTCTGAAAACAGACAATCGAACAGGCTTGTCAAACTCATTAAGAGGAAATGAATAGTCCAATTCATTATTTTGTTCTTCAGATGAAGTCTGGAGTTCATTTTCATCCATTTTTCAGTATTACTGCAGTTTGTTGCTGCCACACTGGAGACACTTTGCCAAGTAGGCAGCATTTTCCAATTACACAGCAGTCAGCTGTGCTAAATAAAAACTAATGAAGCACTTTGATGACTACAGCAGCTCAGATATTCAATCAGCTCTACAATCTGTAGGCATGAGAAAGACCCCTCACAATTTTACAGCAGTGGAAACAGCCCAGAAAATCCTCAGCAAGTGCAGACTTAGCAATGCTAAGAAACTACAAAAAAAACACAGGAGCTACATCTCAGACCCTACAGACCGTAGCTAGCATGTCAAAGTTCATGATAGCACAGTTGTGATGACTTCAAGTTTTTTACGTTATTGTTGCTAAAGATCTTTTTATAAGCTATCGAATCGCAGGCTGTTTTTCACAGAAGTGTATAGAGTCGTGGGAAAACATTCTTCAAATGACCGTATATTCACTACTCAAGGTAGGGTAGGTTAAATTGATTAGCACGTAAACATGGTCAAACATCATTAAGGTCTCTAAACACAGCACTGTTTCTTCATACAGAAGGAGCTGAACTCCCTGGTGTCTCCCACCTCCCTCTTCATGTATGTGTTCTCCTCTCCTCCTTTCTGTGCCACAACATGATGAGGAGCTAGGGTGATCGTTATTTACCGTTATCTCTCCTACAATCTTTCCACTCCCATGGCCAACACAAACATTTCCTGCTGATCCTGTTTCCTGTTAATAATCTTAAACATGGGTTTTACTGTGAAGCAGCAAAACATACTCTTTGGTACACGCGTAAGTGAGGACAGGATTTTATCTAAGATGTGTTTACATATAGACAATCGTAATTTAGCCGATTTGTTGCCAGTAACGACTTATTTTGTTTAATTATAAACGGTGGGTTACTTACGAGTAGACGATCCTCACTCCTCCCTTTAGTCCACCTTCAAACGTCCCTTTTCCTCTGCCGCCAGCCAGAACCTGAGCTTTCACCACAAGGTCCTTTGAACCTAACACACACACACACACACACACACACACACACACACACACACATTAAATGCACTAAATGTCATAGTAACTAGTAACACAACGTTTAGATGGACTAATTTGATCTTATTCTCCTGTCACGCATAAACAATATGCCCAGAGGCTTACAAGACACCATGAGGCTTTTGCAATAATGGCTGAGTTTAAAAGTGACAGGGAGGACTCCAGTTGGCAACTAACGCACCCTTGACCGTTTCAAAAATAGGTAGTGACACAAAGCTCTGGGTCATAGTTGAGTTTTATTTGAAGGTTTGTTCACAAGTTTGGCTTTTGAACCAGTTTTCTTCAACTCTAGGTGGCAACTTATCTCTAACTGTGCTAATGTTCCATGATAATAGTAAGTTATATACACATTTAGCTTTAACTTCTTTAAGAACAGCATGGCATGCTGTAGCACACAGCATGTTTCAGTTTTATTCCATTAATTAGTACTTTTGTTCATTTTCATCAATACACAGTTTCATTCTGGGACT